GCAATCCTTGCCGCTGAAATTATATGTAATATTAAATACTGGATTTCTTTTTTGTATTTTGCAGACATAATTCCTAATTTAAAAAAAAAACTTCAGGTTTCCATTCTATTTTAACCCCTGTTAATTATTGCCTCCAGCCAATTTTTGATCCTTTTCCAAAAATGTTTAGCCTCCTCACAGGTCCACCATAAATGGTAATATGTTCCGTGTATTGATTCACATTTCCAATATTTTGGGGAGGTATTTGTTAAGTTTTTAGCTAATCTTGTTGGTGCCAAGTGCCATCTGTAAAACATTTTGTACTGGTTTTCCTTGTATGCAAGTGATAGTCTCATTTTTAAGTTTGTTCCCCAATTTTTTCCCCTCTCTTCATTCTTAATCCATTCCCCCACCCAAATTGGAAAGGCTCCACCCACACCCACTCCACTATCCAGCCTCTCTGCTTCCCCCAAAGTCACTGCACCCCAACCTCTTCTGCGGATGCCAATCATTTTACAAAGACATGGTCCACCGGCTGCAGGGAAGGTTTTCTGGTTTCTCTTGCTCCACTTTATTGTGGTGGTTTTACCTGTTGGTTGATGACAAAGGTTGGTTTGAAAAAAGTGCTGTGAGGCAGGTTGTCAGATGAGTCACTTCCTTGCACTCACGCTGGGCATATATAGAGGAGACTTTCTCAACTTCAGCAACTATAAGCTGTGTAAACTTCAATTCCCAGAATTGCCCAGCGATCTGTGGAAGTCCACATGTCTTACAGTTGCTGGGGTTGAGAAACAATGATATAGAGCAGGGGTCTCCAACCTTGGCAACTTTTTAAGACTTGTGGACTTCAGCTCCCAGAATTCCTCAGCCAGCAAAGCTATCTGGGGGATTCTGGGAGTGGAAGTCCATAAGTCTTAAAGTTGCCAGGGTTGGAGACCCCTGATAACAAAAAATTAGAAAGAAGACTGAAAGTAATGGATGCTAATTGAGGTGCAGAATAGAATTCATATCTGCAGGTCACTCCAGGATGTAGCAGTTTCCTGCCCCCAAGCCCCCTGCCCCCACTGGCTCAGCCAGTCAAATTAGACCATTGGGATCAAGTGGGACTGAGGCTGTTAATCTGGCCTCCTTGCAGAAGCTCCTTGGAATTGGTGGGCTGGTGCTGAAATGCCCCAAATAAAGGAAATGGACAACTTTAATTGACTTCTCCGGAAAGGGATTCCAAGACATCTCCTCTCTTGATATGGTCAGATCATTCCATTAACTCTAGAGTCTGAAAGGAGCCTAGGGCCATCTCTGGAACTCTGGTGTATCGCTTGCCAGAGATCTTTCTCCCCACAGGAGGAAATGCCCCTGGATTTGGCTTAAGTTGCACCTGTGTGTTTCTCTTTCTTCGCAGTTCTAGTTGGATTCCTGGGGAAAGTTGAGGAAAAAAATGGTTGGCTTACAGCTACGGGGGATGTTGGACAAAATGGACTATTGGACCTCTCTTCAGACCACTGAGACGGCAGTGCTCACGCTTTTAGAAGACCTCTGCTGAGACTGGAGCGGAGGTAGTGCATCCATCTTAGTCTTTTTTAATCTTTCAATGCATTGATGATGGTATCCTGCTGGACCACCTTTGAAGTTTAAGAGTGGGAGTTTAAATTTATATTATTTCTCCTCTGTTCTCCATGGCCTAAAACATTACTCTCTGGGCTCTGATTTAATACCTACGTAAAGGCACTGAGCAGCGTCATCGGTTGGCATGGGATCAGATAACACCAACGTGCCAATAATACCCACTTTAGCCTAGGCTAAGTAAATGAAACCATTAAGATTCCCTCCGTGTCTGGAAATTCTGGATGTGGAAAAGAAGCCTTCAGCTCAACCCAACAAGACAGAGTTGCTGTGGGCTTTAGGATACTCTGTGGGTGCTCTCCACCTTTGGTCCTAGATGGGGTCACCTTCCCTTCCACAGAACTGTTGTGTAACTGCGGCCTTCTTACACTTTCGGTTCCTTTACACAAATCCATCTTGTGCCCCACTTGTTCTTTTTTCTGAACTGGGAGGCCCTACTTGTTTGAGACAGGTCTACCATGGTGAACCAAGGTTATGTGTGCTGATTTGGCCCTCTTCCCTGCTGTTGTCTTAATCTATCCACCATGTCCAAGTTATGCAGGGTTAATCCCCTTCCTTTTGGCCAGGAAACATGTCCTTTTTCTGCCAGGGGTTTCTCTATTCATCAGGACTTCCTACTCTGTACTTTTACTTTTCTCTTTCCTGTCAGTCCTCCTTCTGTCCTTCCCTTACATTTGCTGCATCTTCTGGGCCCTTCCTTGATCTTCCTGCTGCTGAACAGCCCTCACTGTCCAACCTCCAGAGGGCATATCATTCTCACTCACATGACTCACGTGACTCCCTTTTTTGCCCTTCTTTGGTCTTTACACTCTACACAAGGCAACCGTGATCATCCAGGTTAAATTCCTAGCCCCAGGAATATCCTCAAGGGACAAGATTCACAACACAATTGGGAAACTTTTGCAGGATTCAGGATGGAGGGTGGTGGGGGAGCTTACCATGGTTTGGAAGCAAGAATGAAGCTGTGTGAGGAAGGGGGGCTTTCCGGCCAGAGCCAGCACTCGCTTCTCCACCATGGTGCATTCCACATCGTCATCTTGGATGACCACGTCCTTCTTCAGAATCTTTACAGCATAAAGTTCATCCGTTCCTTTCCTTTCCGAAAGCATCACCTGGAATGAGACAAAATAGATGCAAATGAGGATTCTGTCTGCCCACATAGATAAGTTCTCAAGGCCCCAGGACTCCACTGTTTAGTCCCCAAAGGTCTGTGACAGTTCATCACAGCCAACCTGCCACTTCCAACTCACCTCAGGACCAGAGTACACTGATATCAAAGAAATTGTGGAATAGAATCATTAAAAAGGATGCAAACGGGGGAACAGAATGAAATGTGAATGGCAAAAATTAAAATAAATTTTATTTATTTTAAATAATTAAATAGAATTGTTAAATTGTCCTGCAGCAATTTGTCCCATGGCAAGTTGTCCAGTGATGAGTTGTCATGGTGAGTTGGCTGCAGCCAGTTGGCTATGGCAAGCTGTCCCACTCCATTCCCCAAGGACGAAGCTGAGCAGTCATAATCTGAATGAATGTTACTCATGGACAAGCAAGAACAAGTGCAAAGAGATATAGATTACATCTTGGAAAATAGCCCATCCCTTCCCCACACCTCTGGTTTCAACAGACATAGAGGAACTCTCACTGCTTGCCCTGTGATCTACCCAAGAGCATCTTTGAGCTGACCTGATGCTGAAAAGTCTCCACAAATGGAATGCAGGTTTTCCCATATAACCCTTTTGACACAGTGGCACAACCTGTGACTATTAATCTAATAGAAGAAGACAACCTGAATCCTGCCTCATGACATCCAAGCAGGAGCCTCAGGTGGCCTCTCTCCAACCTGTCCATCCTCTGTAATGGTCTCAGGTGCTGAGATCCAAGATTATAATGAGGATGATGACAATTTATTAAATTTATTATAGCTGCTCACTCCAGAGGACTGGAGATCTTTTCCAAAGAAATACAGAGCAATTAATGTGGTAGGATGCTGGATTGATTTTTTAAAACATTCTATATAAGAGTTTCCTTCTCTTGGTGTGTGTGTGTGTGTGTGTGTATTCCCCTTTTCTTCAGTATTCTATAATTTAAGTAATAGCTTTGAATACTACAACCCCCCCCCCAAATGATAAATGAAATTATATGACACCCTCTCGCCACAAATAAAACAAATGATTTAACTGGTGTTAAAATTGTGTAATAAATAACGATTGCACTTACTCTTAATAACTGAATATTTATCTCACAAGGGTTGCCATGAGCACACACACACAAACACCCCTGTGACCTGATCCACCTCTCAAGAACCCCTGATCTAGACAACTGGAACTATTATATTAACAAACCTTGTTTCTCATTAAGTCTTCATTGCTGCCATTGCTAAACTTTGTGAATCAGGATTAGTTGCTGAGATTTATCAAGTTGTACCTGGCTTCCTCCCTATTTCCCTGGTGCTGGGTCAGAGGAAAAGACTTAAGGACTCCCTACCTGGTCAGAATGTGGAAGAGGTTTAGCTTAATTATCTACAACATCTTGAACCTCCAAAGACCTACGCAAGGGTCCTCTCTGTAGACTTCAGCTCAGCATTCAATACCATCATTCCAGATATTCTTCTAACTAAACTAAACCAGCTAACTGTTCCTGACCACACTTGTAAATGGATCATAAGCTTCCTAACAGACAGGAAGCAGAAGGCGAAGCTAGGCAAAATCACATCAGATACCTGTACAATTAGCACAGGAGCCCCCAGGGCTGTGTGCTTTCTCCACTTCTCTTCTCTCTATACACCAATGACTGCATCTCAAATGATCCCTCTGTTAAAGTCCTGAATTTTGGAGATGATACAACAGTGATTGGTCTCATTTGAGACAATGATGAATCTGCATACAGATGGGAGGTTGAACAATTAGCCTTGTGGTGCAACCGGAACAAACTGGAACTGAACTCAAAACCATAGAAATGGTGGTAGACTTTAGGAGAAACCCTTCCAGACTACCAATTCTTACAGTACTAGACAACACAATATCAACAGTAGAGACCTTCAAGTTTCTAGGTTCTATCATATCTCAAGACCTAAAATGGACACCTAACATCAAAAACATCATCAAAAAACCACAACAAAGAATGTTCTTTCTGCACCAACTCAGGCAGCTCAAACTGGCCAAAGAGCTGCTGATTCAGTTCCACAGAGGAATTTTTGGGTCTGTCATCTGCACCTCTATAACTGTCTTGTTTGGCTCTGCAACCAAACAAGACACATAGACTTCAACGGATAATTAGAACTGCAGAAAAAACAATTGCAACCAACCTGTTTTCCATGGAGGACCTGTAGACTGTATGAGTCAAAAAGTGGGCTGTGAAAATATCTACAGACCCCTTGCATCATGGACATAAATTGTTTCAACTTCTGCCCTCAAAACAACCCTAGAGAGCACTGCACACCAGAACAACTAGACACAAAGAAAGTTTTTCCCGAAATGCCATCACTCTGCTAAACAAATGATTTCCACAATAGTCAATAATTTACTAAGGATGTATTACTATTATTATTCTCATCCTTCCTAGTACCTATCTCTTCTCACTTATGACTATAACCATGTTGCTTTTATCTTTCAATTTATATTGTTTTTATTGTTTCCTAATACAATTTGATAGCTTATTAGTAGCCTTTTGACCCTCAACCACCCCATGAGAGAGCCTTCTCAGAAGGGGGGGGGGCTACATTGAAATCTCTCAAGGAGGCCCATGACTGAGGAAGGCCAGGGATCAGATCCTTTACTTATCAACCAATCAATAAGTGCTCCCAGATCAACCATAGCTCAGCTGAGCCCACCATATCCCTGAAATTAGATGGCAAAATGGCCCGCTTTGGCGGGACAATTTTCACTTGCTTTAGAGTTTTAGCAAAGGATGGGAAAGCAAACAAGAGGTCACCATGGGCAAGATGTCTCCATTCTGACTTTTAATTTCTCCCAAACAAGTGAAAAAAGGATGAAGCTTTTCAGTTCTTCCAGCACTATTCCCATTAAGAGCCATGGTGGTGCAGTGGTTAGAGTGCAGTACTGCAGGCTACTTCTGCTGACTGCCGACTGACTGCAGTTCAGCAGATCGAATCTCACCGGCTCAAGGTTGACTCAGCCTTCCCATCCTTCTGAGGTGGGTGAAAGGAGGACCGAGAGTGTTGGGGGGAAGAGGCTGACTCTGTAAACCGCTTAGAGAGGGCTGTAAAAGCACAATGAAGTGGCATAAAAGTCTAAATGCTATTGCTATTGAAAGAGATGTACAGTCCAGCAGTTGGTCAGGAAGCTGAGCTGGGCTCCACAACCATCTCAGCCTTCCGACCAGTTGACCAAATGCCTCCTTGCAGTATATCTACTCTCAGTTAGTCTCTGCTGTTTGCTGCTATTAAATGAAGCGCATACATGATATGCCAATCATTCTGCAGAGTGTGTGTGTGGTGGTGGGGAGCCCCTGTGGAACAAATATCCACATTAATAATCCCAAGCTGGGTTTCTTCTTGAAGATGCAGCTTCATAAGAAGGTGGTTTGTTTTGGCCCTGAGGCTGGATGGAGATCAATAGGCATAAATTAATAATCATACATTATTCATGAGGCCTCTAAGACTCATGCAAGGGCAAACACAGCACCTTTGTCTTATGCACTAAAATAGCCATGGCTTTCAGATCTTTTGTTGCAAAAGCATGTGGCTACTTTATCTCTGTCTGTCCTACAAGATCCAGCAGGATGAAAACATAGAATAACAGAGTTGGAAGGTTTTAAAGATTGGGTGAAAGGAACGCAGGAGCCATGGATCATGAGAGTAATGATGTTTATTAGTACCAGATGACAAGATGACAAGCGATTCAGAAATCCGTTACAACTGTCCCAGTATTTATACTCTCAGGTACCAACTGTCATTAGAACCTCCAATCACAGGCTGTATTTGGCCGACCAATTAGAACGCAGCACAGGCTGTTGCTGGGCTATAACAAAGATTGGGTGAAAGGAACGCAGGAGCCATGGATCATGAGAGTAATGATGTTTATTAGTACCAGATGACAAGATGACAAGCGATTCAGAAATCCGTTACAACTGTCCCAGTATTTATACTCTCAGGTACCAACTGTCATTAGAACCTCCAATCACAGGCTGTGCTTCGCCCGACCAATTAGAACGCAGCACAGGCTGTTGCTGGGCTATAACAGAAGGGATCTTGACAGTCTTCTAGTCCAACCCCCTACTAAAGCAGGAGATCTTATATCTTTTCAGACAAATGGCTGTCCAGCCTCTTCTTAAAAGCCTCCAATGATGGAGCACCCACAACTTCTGAAGGCAACTTCCGTTCCACTGGTTAATTGTTCTCACTGTTAGGCAATTTATCCTTAGTTCCTTCTCTCCTTGATTAGTTTCCATATATTGTTCCTTGTCTTGCCTTTTGGTTCTTTGGAAAATTGGTTGACTCCTTCATCTTTGTAGCAACCCCTCAAATATTGAAAGACTTCTATCATGTCTCCCCTAGTCCTTGTTTTAGTTAGACTAGACATATCCAATTCCTGCAACCATTCTACATATATTTTAGTCTCCACACCTTTAAACATCTTAGTTGCTCTTCTTTGCACTTTTTCCAAAATCTCAACATTTTTTTTATATTGTGGCAACCAAAATCGGATGCAGTATTCCAGGTGTGGTCTAACTAAGGCATTGTAAAGAGATACTAATATTTCAAGTGATTCTATCCCCGTTTATGAAACCTAGGATTGCATTGGCTTTTTTGGCGGCGGCTGAACACAGCTAGCTCATATTTAAATGATGGACCACTAGGACTCCAAGATTCCTTTCATAATTACTGGCATTGGCCACGTTTCATCCAGTCTGTCCCTGTACAGATGTTTTTTTCTTTCCTAAGTGTAAAATCTTACTTTTCTCTACATTGAATTGTATTTTGTTAGGTAGGACCCAGTATTCCAGTCTGTCGAAATCCATCTTCTGGGGTGTTGGCTATTCCTGCCAGCTTTGATGAGTTTAGAATAGAATAGAATAACAGAGCTGAAAGGGACCTTGGAGGTCTTCTAGCCCAACCTCCTGCTTAGGCTTTCCTGCATAATACCAGGGC